ATTATTTTATGAATTATTTTATTAGTTTTGTTTACGAGCTTCTTGGAAAACATTTTAAGAGATGAAATTAATTAGTAAACTAAGATTTTTTTAAAACTAATTAAAAATAACTTTCTAAAAGTATTATTCTTTGTTTAATTTAAACATTTTCTTCCTTGTAAATTATATATATATATATATATATATAATATATAAAATGAACGATTCACTTTATCATCTCTTATGTATATATATAATACATAAAAGATGATAAAGTGAATCGTTTCATGTTATTCAATTTAATTTGTCAACTCATCTGGCATAACTTAGCTTATAGAAGCTTACATAGACAAAGTATTTTATTATTGTGTGCATTTGTATTTGTTTGTATATTGAATATAATTTTTTTTATTTTTTTATTAATATAGCATATTTACATCTATATTTTTTTATTTTATAACATTCTATTTTAGTAGCATAAAATTAATAAAATAAGATATTTTATAATAATTTTCAAAATTCATGATTCAGATTATAAAGCATATTAATGTAGTCCTACCAAAATATAAAATTATAAAAATATGATATTTATACCATCACGTTAAAACCACCACAAGTCTTAATCCACACTAATCACTCATGCTTCCAAACCTCCCCCACTCTCAATGTGGTTTGATCCTCATAAATGTCTTTACACTTGCATCTATCTGCGCACACTGAAGGTGATCGTTGCAAAGAAGAGAAAACACCAACAAGACCAAAAATAAGAGGTAGACCCACAATTGTTTGCCTTGATATTACCAATTATCGTGAGATAAAGCAAAAAAGCGACAATAACCTGTAATCCTTTTTTCTCTCAGCTTATCTTTGTCCATTGTTACTTTAGAGAAAAAAAACAGAAGCAAACCAAAGCAAGGAAATCTAACAATCCCTTCTCAATTTGTTTTTTCATTTTACTAAAAAGAGAAAAATGAAAACCGAAAACAAGGCCGTTCAATGTTTCCCTTTTCAAATTTGTTTTCTTTTATTCGCCTTGTTTGTTGAGCGTCGTGTATGTATCTCATGTCGTGATTCGCTTTCCCTTGCATTGATGTGGTGTCATGTGCCTCCTCTATTGATCTCGCATGGTGATGCTCGTGGCATTTTTGTGGGGGACAATGACTTCTGACATTTTGTGTGGTGGTGGTTTGTGTTCTTTGAGTGTCTATATGTTGTGAGTGAATGCATCATAGTGGTGAGTTTCGTTTTTCTCTTTTTAGGGAGAATAAAAATATGAGATATGTGCGAGAGCACATCACACAAGAATTGAAATAACACAACATGCTTTTTTTTTAAAAACAAGTTGTGGGCTGCCCCAGCTTGACCCTTAGGTTGGCCTGATGGGTTTTTTGGTTGGGCGGGTCAGGCTACTTTGGGTTGACAGGTTGAAATCTTTGTCCTGACCAGTTTTTTTTATGAGTTGATGGGTTGGCCCGTTGGGCCTAACCCATTTTTCCATTCCCACCTTTGCTAGTCTGCAGAGCCATGTAATCCCCTTCACTTTGAAGTCATTATCTTGCCTTTAAAAGGAGGATCTGATGCAACTTTCATCACCACATAACTTATTTTCTTTACATGACATAAAATGATTATTAGAGTTTAGATTCTTGCTTGAATTCATACATTAAGTATACACTAAAGAAACACCACTATAGAAAAGCCGTACGAGATTTCTTTGAATTTACGTGACACACAGACATTACTGCCAAAACATATCCACATCCAATTATTAAGTCAAAACAGGCACTTCATAGTTTGTATTTCATTCCATACTAACGTGATTGTCCATGTTCATGAAACTACAAATAACAGATGTTTTCATACATTCTCGTTATCCACTGAGCAATTTGTCAGCATCACAATTTTCATACCACCATTACTACATGCATACGCATGTTATCCATTAACAATTTCATAAATAATAATATATCAAACATTTGAACCATCAAAATCAACTAAACTATCAAAAATCAAAATTTCACAACAATCGAAAACATTGTATTATTTTACACTTAACAATACAAAACCATTGCTCAATATACTATCACAAAATAAGATTAACGTACAAAACCATCGCTCAATGCTCTGTCAAAAAATTGTTCTCTAACTTTGAAATTTAAGACGGACACTTAGTATCACTTTGTACTCCTAAACGCTATGACATTAAATGAAAAAATATGTTTGAGTTTTAACTTGCCAATTGGTACTTTTCACTTTATTCTAACTTGTTAGTTGTTTTCGAAAACAATATTTAAATAGTTTTCACAATCTATCCTATGCTCAGTCTAAAACTCTTCATCAACTCACCTCATATAAATCAACATTCAGAAAACAATACAATAAGCATCAATCAACACAATCATTATACAATAAATCAACTTCTTCTCCATCAAAACCAACACAACATATTAAATATCACATGTTTCTCATAGACAAACATCACAAAGACATATTTAACAATATATTTTAAAGTATCTTAGATTGATAGTTAAACATTATGAAGGTGTAATAAACATTAAAAGTTATTTTTTTAATTTTTTTCAAGAAATTATTTCCCATATATAATCAAGAAAAAAAATCGTAACGACATTCTTATCCCAATAAATATTAAACTACTCATGCTATTTACAAATTGTTTGGAGTTTATTTTTTTTATGGTACACTTATATGTCAACGTAGCTCTTATGCTAGTGTCCATAACTGTGAAATAGTTCTTTTTAACAAGAAAAAATTGATAAATATCCCTATAATTAACTCTACCCTCCCTTTGCAAAATAAAATAAAAAAAATAAACCCTTGCTACCATTTACAAAGCTTAAAAGTACAATAGATCTAGGTACTTAGCAGAAAAAAAATGAAAATAATAGGGTTTAAAATTTGCAAAAACTAAAAAAAATTGAGAATAAAATGTAAAAGATCGTTTTAAACAATAAATCTCATAAATGACGATAGATTACTGAAATGGAATAATTTTTTTTCGTACAAAATACAAATGTATTTAAAATATTTAGAAAGGGAAAGAAGAAGACAGCAAAATAAAATAAAAAAGAGGTAAAAGAAGAAAAAAAGTACAAGGTTGTTGTCATTACAGAAGTCACAGGAAAACTCAATGTTCACATATTGACAGCCAACGACCTGAACGGAAATGTCCAAAGTCGAATAAAACCAAATACACGTTCATTTTTCCTCATTCTAATTCTCAGACAACATCCGTAGTTTCTTTTTTCCTTTTTTTTTTTTCTTTGAATAAACAAAACGTTCACATTCCCACACCCCAAGAAGAAGGCTTTTGCTTGCAGATTCTCTTACTCCAGCTATTAATACTAAACACTCTCTCACTCTCTCCAAAGCGGTTCTTCACTACCAAAAGGTCTTTGCTTTATCACTGTCTCTCACTTGGGGTGTCTCATTTTCTTTTCTCAACTGGAACCGCTAAAGGGGAAGTCTTGAGCTTGAGAATGAAGCACGCTGGTTGGTGAGGAATTGTTGTTGTTCATTTCTGGTGGGGTGGTTTGGATCCAACTGGGTCTTCAGCTTTTGTGCTGTTTTTTTAGTTTCCCGAAGAATCCTTATGGGGAACATTTATCTGGTACATTTGACGGTGGTGGTGGTGGTTTTCCTGGGGGTGTTTTTACCTTGTTTGTGTCAAGGGGATTCAGACGATGATACCACTGCTGTGTATGTTGTTACCCTTAGACATGCTCCTGTTTCTCATTACTATGGTGAGTTGAGAAGAGAAGTTAGTAGCTTCAAAGATGCTGCTCCTGCTCCAGGGAGAACCCAATTTAACAAACCAAGAAGGTATCCCCTCACACTAACACAGGCATGGTTTGAAGGTTTTCTGTGGGGCTGGGGGTGCTGATTGGTGTCTTGTGTTTCTTTGTTGTTTTATGGAAAGAAATTGCTTATTTCTTTTTGTGTTTTCCGTGAAGTGTTGGATGGTGTGCTCATGTGCCGTATTCTTTGAAATCATAGGTTTTTTTTTTTTTAACTTTTCCCTTTTTTTTTTATTTGGTCCCAAATCATTGAGGTTTCTTGTGGAAGCTGTGTTTTGAGTAAGATGAAAAGCGTTTGGTTAAATGATTGCTTATCATCTAGAGATGATAGGTTTTTGTTTGAAAAGTCTCATTATATTTGTTAATGATGTTCTCAATTCTCAGTGCCTTGTTTCAACCTTTTTTTTTTCTTCCAATTTAGAAAGTTTTTATAAAACATGGTGCATTAATTTGACATATGTGATCCTGTTCATTTTATTATCCTTTTGTTTTGAAGGTATGACAATATTACTAAGACAGATAAGAGATATGGCTCTTACATTTCCCAAGTTCATGATTCTCTGTTGAAGAAAGTGTTAAACGGAGAGAAATATCTGAAGCTCTATAGCTACCATTACCTGATAAATGGATTCGCTGTGCTGGTTACCCAGAAACAGGTATGATATTAGTTTTAATCATCGCGATTATGCTCTTAGTTTAGAAAAATAGGACCAGTTACATTTTTGTGTTGTTCTTTCTATTGATGAATTGGCTTCGGTGTCGGTGCTCTTAATGTTTAAAAATTTCAAATATTGTTTATTGATTTACTGCAAGTGAACACATTCTGAGCTGTTGATTGATAATTACTGAATCATGAAGGCAGAGAAACTATCAAGGAGCAGTGAAGTGTCCAATGTGGTTTTGGATTTTTCTGTAAGGACTGCGACTACACATACGCCACAGTTTTTGGGTCTGCCACAGGGAGCATGGTTTCAAGAGGGAGGGTTTGAAACTGCTGGAGAAGGAGTTGTTATTGGGTTTGTTGACACTGGCATAGATCCAACACATCCTAGTTTTGGTGATAGTAAATCTAATCATCCATATCCTGTTCCTGGTCATTTTTCTGGCATCTGTGAGGTTACTCGCGACTTTCCATCTGGTTCTTGCAATAGGAAGCTTGTTGGGGCCCGCCACTTTGCTGCTTCAGCCATAACCAGAGGAATATTTAATTCAACTCAGGACTATGCTTCTCCCTTTGATGGTGATGGTCATGGCACGTGAGTTCTTGGCTTTTCTCTATGGATGTTATGTTTGGTTGTATTATCTTACATGGTCCATACTCTTGATTTCATCCAACTACTAATTGGATTCATAATTGGGATATATGGTTTGTTTGTTGGCATCTGCTTTACCATCATGGCTAATCCATGGTGGCAAAGTCTAAGCTGTCAGCCTTTGTCTCAACTACTGGTCTACTATTGCCACATGTTATCAGTCAGTTTTTTCACTGTACCTTAATTATGTTTTTGATGGATTATGTCCAGCTTATATATGTCCCTCAGAACCTTACAGTAATGTGTTTTCTCCTGTTTCTTGGAGTGTTGATAATGTTCTGAAAATTGGAACTGTTATAGCCCTGAATGTTTTTTAAAATATGAATTGAAAATGAACCGATGTTTTCATGTTTAACTGTCCCCAAAACTTTTTTAATCACAACATAATTATTTATCTTTACTTCTCTTTTAACTAAATACCCTTTCTGATGTAACTAAAATACACAGGCATACAGCAGCTGTTGCAGCAGGAAACCATGGGATTCCAGTCATTGTTGCTGGACATCACTTTGGAAATGCTAGTGGGATGGCTCCTCGTTCACAGTAAATAATCCGGAACATGTCTTCGTTATTTTATTTTATTTTGTTATCATTATTTTTACACTTGTAGTAATCTGTTGGATCTATAGATATGCATGATGCTATGAGTTGTGCATTATTCTTTAACATCAACCTTAATGATATGTAAATTACATTCTTCGGAGTGTAACAATATTTGAAATTTTTAAACATTAAGAGCACCGACACCGAAGCCAATTCATCAATAGAAAGAACAACACAAAAATGTAACTGGTCCTATTTTTCTAAACTAAGAGCATAATCGCGATGATTAAAACTAATATCATACCTGTTTCTGGGTAACCAGCACAGCGAATCCATTTATCAGGTAATGGTAGCTATAGAGCTTCAGATATTTCTCTCCGTTTAACACTTTCTTCAACAGAGAATCATGAACTTGGGAAATGTAAGAGCCATATCTCTTATCTGTCTTAGTAATATTGTCATACCTTCAAAACAAAAGGATAATAAAATGAACAGGATCACATATGTCAAATTAATGCACCATGTTTTATAAAAACTTTCTAAATTGGAAGAAAAAAAAAAAGGTTGAAACAAGGCACTGGAGAATTGAGAACATCATTAACAAGATAAGAGAACGTTTCAAACAAAAAACCTATCATCTCTAGATGATAAGCAATCATTAACCAAACGCTTTTCATCTTACTCAAAACACAGCTTCCACAAAAACCTCAATGATTTGGGACCAAATAAAAAAAAAAGGGAAAAGTTAAAAAAAAAAAACCTATGATTTTCAAAGAATACGGCACATGAGCACACCATCCAACACTTCACGGAAAACACAAAAAGAAATAAGCAATTTCTTTCCATAAAACAACAAAGAAACACAAGACACCAATCAGCACCCCCAGCCCCACAGAAAACCTTCAAACCATGCCTGTGTTAGTGTGAGGGGATACCTTCTTGGTTTGTTAAATTGGGTTCTCCCTGGAGCAGGAGCAGCATCTTTGAAGCTACTAACTTCTCTTCTCAACTCACCATAGTAATGAGAAACAGGAGCATGTCTAAGGGTAACAACATACACAGCAGTGGTATCATCGTCTGAATCCCCTTGACACAAACAAGGTAAAAACACCCCCAGGAAAACCACCACCACCACCGTCAAATGTACCAGATAAATGTTCCCCATAAGGATTCTTCGGGAAACTAAAAAAACAGCACAAAACGCTGAAGACCCAGTTGGATCCAAAACCACCCCACCAGAAATGAACAACAACAATTCCTCCTCACCAACCAGTCGTTGCTTCATTCTCAAGCTCAAGACTTCCCTTTAGCATTTCCAGTTGAGAAAGAAAATGAGACACCCCAAGTGAGAGACAGTTGTTGAAAAGCAAAGACCTTTTGGTAGTGAAGAACCGCTTTGGAGAGAAGAGTGAGAGAGTGTTTAGTATTAATAGTCTGGAGTTAAGATAATCTGCAAGCAAAAGCCTTCTTCTTGGGGTGTGGAATGTGAACGTTTTGTTATTCAAAGAAAAAAACAAAGGAAAAAGAAATCTTATGTTGTGGAATAGAATGAGTAAAATGACCGTTTTATTTGGTTTTATTCGACTTTGGACATTTCCGTTCAGGTCGTTGGCTGTTCAATATGTGAACATTGAGGTTTTCCTGTGACTTCTGTAATGACAACAACCTTGTACTTTTTGTTAGTTCTTTTACCTCTGTTTTTATTATTGTCTGCGTCTTCTTCTTTCCCTTTCTGAAATATTTTAATACTGTTTCTTGTACGAACCAATTATTCCATTTTCCATTATCAGTCAGGTCATTTTATGAGATTTATTGTTTAAAACGATCTTTTACATTTTATTCTCAATTTTTTTTAGTTTTTGCAAATTTTAAACCCTATTATTTTCATTTTTTTTCTGCTAAGTACCTAGATCTATTGTACTTTTAAGCTTTGTAAATGGTAGCAAGGGTTTATTTTTTTTATTTTATTTTGCAAAGGGAGGGTAGAGTTAATTATAGGGATATTTATCAATTTTTTCTTGTTAAAAAGAACTATTTCACAGTTATGGACACTAGCATAAGAGCTACGTTGACATATAAGTGTACCATAAAAAAAATAAACTCCAAACAATTTGTAAATAGGCATGAGAGTTTAAGCTTTTTGGGATAAGAATGTCGTTACGATTTTTTCTGATTATATATGGGAAATAATTTTCTTGAAAAAAAATTAAAAAAAATAACTGTTAATGTTATTACACCTTCATTAATGGTTTAACTATCAATCTAAGAGAGACTTTAAAATATATTGTTAAATATGTCTTTGTGATGTTTGTCTATGAGAAACATGTGATATTTAATATGTTGTGTTGGTTTTTGATGATAATGAAAGTTGATTTATTTGTATAATTGATGTAGTTGATTTGTGCTTAATTGTATTGTCTTGAATTTGTTGATTTATATGAGGTTGATTTGATTGATAGAGTTTTAGAATGAGCAATTAGATAGATTGAAACTATTTAAATATTGTTTTCGAAACAACTAAAAAAGTTAGGAATAAAGTGAAAAGTACCAATTGGCCAAGTTAAAACTCAAACATATTTTTTCATTTAATGTCTAAGACCTTTAGGATACAAGTGAACTAGTGTCCGCGCTTAAAGTTTCAAGTTAGAGAACAATTGTTTTGACAGAGGCGTTGAGCGATGGTTTTGTTACGTTAATCTTTTTGTAAAGAAGATATTGAGGCAATGGTTTTGTATTGTTAAGTGTAAATAAACAATGTTTTCGATTGTTGTGAATAATTTGATTTTTGATAGTTTTAGTGATTTGTGGGTTCAAAGTTTTGTCTTATATTATTTATGAAATTGTTAATGGATTTATAAATTAGTATGCATGTATATTTCATGGTGTATGGAAGTGTGCATGATGACAAACTTGCTATGGGATACGAAGAATGTATGAAATAATATTTATTTATAGTTGATCATTACCATGACATCACTTAGTATGTATTAATCCAAATAATGAGTGACTGTTTTGAATATAATTGATGTGGAATCATGTTTTGTGGCGTAATATGTGGTTTTTCACTTATTCCAGAAATCTCGTAGGATTTTCTAATAGTGGTTTTTCTTTAGTGTATACATTACTGTATGAATCAAGCAAGAATCCTAAACTCTAATAATCATTTATGTCATGTAAGGTAAAAAAGTTATGTGGTGAAAGTTGCATCAGATCCTACTGTAAACTCAAGATAATGACTTCATAGGAAGGGGATTAACATTGGCTCTGCAGACTAGCAAAGGTGGGAATGGAAAAATGGGTTAGGCCCAACGGGCCAACCCATCAACTCATAAAAAAAACTGGTCAGGACAAAGATTTCAACCTGTCAACCCAAAGTAGCCTGACCCGCCCAACCAAAAAACCCATCAGGCCAACCTAAGGGTCAAGCTGGGGCAGCCCACAACTTGTTTTTAAAAAAAAAGCATGTTGTGTTATTTCAATTCTTGTGTGATGTGCTCTCGCACATATCTCATATTTTTATTCTCCCTAAAAAGAGAAAAACGAAACTCACCACTATGATGCATTCACTCACAACATATAGACACTCAAAGAACACAAACCACCACCACACAAAATGTCAGAAGTCATTGTCCCCCACAAAAATGCCACGAGCATCACCATGCGAGATCAATAGAGGAGGCACATGACCCCACTCATGCAAGGAAAGCCGAAATCAAGAAAGAATACATACCGACTCTCCAAAACAAGGAGAATAAAAAGAAACAAATTTGAAAGGGAACATTGAACATTGCCTTGTTTTAGGTTTTCATTTTTCTCTTTTTAATAAAATGAAACAAAATTGAGAAAGGGATTGTAGATTTTCCTTGCTTTGGTTTGCTTCTGTTTTTTTTTTCTCTTAAATTAAAAATGGACTAAAGATAAGATGAGATGAAAAAGCTTACAGGTTATGTAGCTTTTGTTTGCTTTATCTCACGATAATTGGTAATATCAAAGGCAACAATTGTTTGTTCTACCCTCTTATGTTTTGTCTTGTTGGTGTTTGTCTCTTTCTTTTGCAACGATCACCTTATCAGTGTGAGCAGATGAGATGCAAGTGTAAAGACATTTATGGAGGATCAAAAGCCAACAATTAGAGTTGGGGGAGTTCTTTGGAAGCATGAGTGATTTAGT